TATGAATAGTAGCACCGGAAAAAAGAATCCTGTCTCCAGGACAGTATTCATTGTAGAAGGAAAGTCATGTTGGAAATCCCAAGAGAAGAAGGAAAAGTCACTGCTCTGAAGAGAAGAATTGAAGGAATTTCCTTTCATGACTAGGCAGTTTTGGGAGAGGCTCTGTATACACAGTCAGATGCCTACGCCCTCATGTTCTCCAGCTTCTCATTGCCATCGCCTCCTCTGATGACCGGCAGAGACCTTCCCTAAGTATCCTAGATCAGCAGGACTGGAAGGACCCGAGCCCAAATTCCCATTTAGGATGAGAAACCCAAAGACCAGAGAAGACCAGTGATCAACTCAAGGGCACACAGCCAGCGGGCTTGGTCCACAGCCAGGCGCACCCACTAACAAAACTGCTTCCAGGTACGCATTTTATGATAGCAAGGGATACAAAAGGATAAACCTAAATGTGCGTCCCCAGGGCATTGAGCTAACTTGACTTTACTCACTCCTGAGAGGGGCTGCAGTCAACGTGAAAGCAGGTGATCAAGGTTGGTGGAGAAAGTAATGTGTTTATATCAACCCATTTTGATGTCTGTGTTACACTTACGTTTTACACACTTCCTGTGGAATGAAGCCCCAAACCTAGTGGCAGCTTGCATTGCAGTAACAAGGATTTTTAGAACATACCCAATCCCTGCTCCAGCACTGACCAGATATGTAATGCTGAGTTTTCATTTCCTCATCTGTGAAAGGAGATATCAGCCACCTTCATCATGCTGTTACAAAAATAAAATCAGATAACTGTGTCTGTCTGGCGCACAACAGCCACTACTTCTCTCAAACCCAGATATCCCCTTGTCTTATCGACACAGGAGACCTAATGAGTCCCACAGCAACCTGCTGATCCTGCTCTATGAATTACAAAGAAAGGTTTTCCCCCAAGCACCTCGAGAGAGAAAGAAAGAAAGAAAGAAAGAAAGAAAGAAAGAAAGAAAGAAAGAAAGAAAGAAAGAAAGAAAGAAAGAAAGACCTTCCATAATGCTTTCACAGGTTAATCGTTTTCAATTTCCTCAGCCAGAATCAAAAGTTAAGAAGAGTCTCATTAAGAAGAATTCTAAGGGTATTTCTTTTCAAGTTCCCAAATACCTTCTTCATTATCCACATTGCCCTTGCAAGCTGGTTCCCCCATGTCCATGCTGATATGGAGAACACCGAATCCAGATGTATTCACTGGGTTCCCGGCACTATACAATTCCTACCCCAGGGATGTGCTCATGGGAAACATTCAATGAGTCATCCTTATCTGAACCAAGCAGAATCAGAAAAAGAATTCCAAGAAAGATATATTGAGCATCCACTTACTATATGCTAGACACTGTATAAGACCCTTTTCACGCTCTTGTTTAATTATGACAACTCTGAAGGTGATCATCGTTGTCCTCACCTTACAGATGATGAAACAGACATTCAGAGCACTTTGCGATTTGCCTAAAGTTTCACTGTCGAGAAGGAGCCAGGTCTCCTGACTTCAGGTCTTCCCACTATGAGACCACCAGTTTATTGTAACTAGAGGCCTCTCCCATCTAAAGCATCTTTGTAACTGCTTTCCCTTTCCCCACACTGCTTACACACACAGAAGCCCCTAATTTGTAACAAGTCATTTGATAACTCCAAAAGAGGGGCCACATCCTTTTTCTTTATGTCTGTTGATTAACAAAGACAACATTATATTTCCAACACATTAGTCAGACCAAGGGGGAAAAAAATCCCATGACTAGAGTAAATTTCCATCCTTTGGAACAAGGACATATACACAGAAGGTTTACTATAGAATATAAACATTGCTTTTAAATGATGCCAATCTGTCTTTTAATGTGGCCTAAATCCTAAAATGTAAAGTGTGATAAACCAGGCACAGCATCTCACACCTGTAATCCCAGCACTTTGGGAGACTGAGGCAGGTGGATCACCTGAGGTCGGGAGTTCAAGACCAACCTGAACAACATGGAGATATCCCATCTCTACTAAAAATACAAAATTAGCTGGGTGTGGTGGCGCATGCCTGTAATCCTGGCTACTCAGGAGGCTGAGGCAGGAGAATCGCTTGAACCCGGGAGGCGGAGGTTGCAGTGAGCCGAGATTGCGCCATTGCACTCTAGCCTGGGCAACAAGAGCGAAACTCCGTCTCAAAAATAAATAAATAAATAAATAAATAAATAAATAAATAAAGCGTGATAGTGTCCTTTCTTCTATTTTAAGTAGACACACAAGCCTTAATATATATGAAAACTGTAAACATCAAGGCCAACTCTTTAAGATTGAACTCTCACACTAACACACCTCTTCCTTGCAACTTGCACCCAATTTGAGTCTGGTCCTAGGCATGCTGACCTGAAATAGTTGCTGGCCGCGGCAAGTACCACGCGGTGGCAGGAGAATTCCTGAATGTCCACACACAAGATGACATCTGTCAGAGCGTTTTCCATTCGCAGGGTCTCCAGGCCATTCTGAAGAATTAAGGAGAGTCCCGCGTCGTCAAATTTGACCTTTTCCCCATTTAAGATCTCCACCAAGTCTCCTCTTTTCTGGGAGGGCTCATCTGTAGAAGGTGCCAGAGGCCCTTCCAAACTCTTCTCAACCACGTCACCCATGGTCCAGGCGCCCCTTTGTCCTGCCATCAACATCGAGACTGAAGGAGCGCCCAAGTGTCAGGCAGGCCCCATTGCAGAAGCTGAGCGGATTTCCTGTGCAGGGCCCTCCACTTATCACCAGCTGTCACACACACATAACAGGAAGTCTCGCACTTTCTCATCCTGTTACTACAAATGCCAGCAACTTCTATTCTTCTTCTTTCTGTGAATAATCACAGGGTTAGAAATTACTTAGAATAGGTGTGTGGGAGGGGGCTCTGGAAGAGGAGTGGCCTCTTAGAGTCCACTGTGAGTGCTGTGTGTTTATTTTGGTGCATCTCCCACTTCATATCCGTGAGCAGGAAGCCTCCGGTGGTGGCTATTACATTTGTACTCCTAATGCTATCAATAACCCGAGTCGTCAATGAGGGGATGGACAGGAGACATTCTATAATCCTCCCACTTCACATTTGTACTTCTAGTGGCTCAATAACCCAAGTCGTCAATGAGGGGATGGACAGGAGACAGTCTATAGTCCTCCCACTTCCTCCTCCCAGGCGTCTGAGATCCCACAACGATCCAACAACCGTCCTTCGTAAACCTTGGAAACCCCACTTATCCCTGACATTCTCATTTCTGGAGATACTGCAGATAGTCTATATTCATCCTCCTCCCTACCCAGGGGAAAACAACGTCATGGCAAACATTCATGTCTTCCCCTCACCAAAAAACGTCTATTGTTTCAGATGTGCTTTGGGGGCACAGAAGAAATGGTTTCCAAAACTCGGTCACTAGCATCTTCTCAGAGGATGAGTCAGGGTAGGTCTACACCGAATTGCCACAGCACGTCTCAAATTAGCCCGGTGTCTACAGACCATGCATCTAATGTTGGATCCTGAAGTATTTTCATTACCTTTGCAGGTCTTAGTTAAGTAGTAATAACTGTCATTATTAAAATCCCATGATTTTAATAGGAAGTTATAGGAGTGTATTAGTTAGCGTTCTCTCACACCCAACAGTAATGCTTTACCAGGTTGCTAGGTATTTCTTAGCCCAGTAAACTTGACATCTAAAATTAACCATCACAATTACAGTCATACCCAGCATAATGATATTTCAGCTGATGATGGACTCCGGAGAGACAGAACCAAAAGGATACCTAGAGAGGCATAGCAGAGGGAAATTATCAGGGGAATTGGCTCACATGATTATGGAGACTGAGAAGTCGCATGACAGACTGCTGAGAGCTCAGGTCGAGTCCGAAGGCCTCAGAACCAGGGAAGATGGTATAACTCTCAGTTCAAGGCCAAATGCCTGATAATCCAGGAGGTGGGGAGACTGGTGTAAGTCCTGAAGTCCAAAGGCAGGGGATCCTGGAGTTCTGTTGTTCAAGGCAGGAGATGACTGTATCCCAGCCTCAGAATAGAGAGACATGGACCTTTCTTCTGTTTTTGTTTTCTCTGGGCCACTGGCTGATTGGACGGTGCCCACCCACAGTGAGAGTGTATCTTCTCTACCGAGTCCACTCAGACTCACTAAGCTCTCCTGGAAACAACCTCACAGACACGCTCAACAGTCATGCTTTGCCAGGTTGCTAGGTATTTCTGAGCCCAGTAAACTTGACATCTAAAATTAACTGTCACAAGTATGGTCATGCCCAGCATAATGACATTTCAGTCGATGATAGACTGAATATACAATTGTGGTCCCATAAGATTATAATGGAGCATATAAAGAAGCTGACAGCTGGGCGCGGTGGCTCACGCCTGTAATCCCAGCACTTTGGGAGGCCGAGGCAGGCGGATCACAAGGTCAGGAGCTCAAGACCAGCCTGAGCAACATGGTGAAACCCCCGTCTCTACTAAAATTAGCCGGGCATGGTGGCATACACCTGTAATCCCAGCTAGTCAGGCGGCTGAGGCAGGAGAATCGCTTAAATCTGGGAGGCGGAGGTTGTAGTGAGCCGAGATTGCGCCATTGCACTGCAACCTGGGCAATAAGAGCAAAACTCTGTCTCAGAAAAAAAAGGTAATGGAAAAATAATGCCATTCACGATGGTAATAAAACATATGTAAATGCCTAGGAATAACAGCAACCAGCAACATAAAGAAAACTAACAAAGTTTACTAAGAGATTTGAAAGAAAACTTAAATATACCAAGTTCCTTTATGAAAAGACTAAATATTATTAAAAGGACCAATTCTCTCCAAATGCATTTATAGGTTTATTTCACTCTAATAAAAATTACAATAAAATTTGGAGTTTAGGTGTTTAGTTTTGTTTTGTTTTGTTTGAGACAGAGTCTCAGTCTGTTGCCCAGGCTAGAGTACAGTGGTGCGATCTCAGCTCACTGCAACCTCCACCTCCCAGGTTCAAGCGATTCTGCCTCAGCCTCCCAAGTAGCTGGGACTATAGGCTCGCACCACCACACCTGGCTAATTTTTGGTATTTTTAGTGGAGACAGGGTTTTGCCATGTTGGCCAGGCTGGTCTCGAACTGCTGGGCTCAAGCAATCCACCCGCCTCAGCCTCCCAAAGTGCTGGGACTACAGGCTCACACCACCACACCTGCCCCAAGTTTAGGTTAAATTTAAATGAACAGTATCAAGATAGGTTCAAAGCACAGTGGGACTATCTGTAAAAGGATAAACATTAAGTCTAGACTTTACAGTGGACCCAGAGTCTTTTCTCCCTGGGAACTACAAAATTAAGATAAATGTGGAATGTAGTATTCAGAAGCCCCATATCTGAGTTGGAAATTGAGACTGCTTCCCAGTGTCAAAGTGATTTAGATCTTCCAGACAACTCTGAGATGTCTCATTCTTCCTGATACAATGGCAAACTACAAAGTTTCTGATGGTCTGCGACTTTTAGAAAACAATTTGTCTCAGTAAGAATAAGTAGTCACTCACGAAGGGTATCCTTATGACACATTGATAATTGCACGGAGTCACTTAAAGAAACATTTCTTTTTAATGTTTTTTGCTTTTATGTTTTGTTTGTTTTTTGAGACAGGGTCTCACTCTGTTGCCCAGGCTGGAACGCAGTGGTGAGAACACTGCAGCCTCCACCTCCTGGGCTCAAGCAATCCTCCCGCCTCAGCCTTCCAAGTACAGGTGCATGGCACCACATCTGACTAGTTTTTTAATTTATATTTTTTGTAAAGGCTAGATTTCCTAGCCTGATGAATGGGAGTGCAGATTTTTACTTTCCGATTTGACCTAATCTTTTCTTTCTCAGCCCTTTTAAGATTAATAGTCATGAATTTAAATTGAGACCTGGCAGACGGCCAAGATCAGTTTCCAAAAGTTATATGCTTGGGCCAGGTGTGGTGGCTCATGCCTGAAATCCCAGCACTTTGGGAGACCAACATAAGAAAATTGCTTGAGCCAAGAAGTTCCAGACCAGCCTGGGCAACGTGACGAAACCTCATCTCCACAAAAAATACAAATTAAAAAATTAGTCAGATGTGGTGCCATGCATCTGTACTTGGAAGGCTGAGGCGGGAGGATTGCTTGAGCCCAGGAGGTGGAGGCCACAGTGAGCCATGTTCTCACCACTGCATTCCAGCCTGGGCAACAGAGTGAGACCCTGTCTCAAAAAACAAACAAAACAAAAAAGCAAAAAAAAAGTCATATGTTGAGCTGTGTTCAGTAGAACTATGGAGAGTTGGCTGGGTGCAGTGGTTCACGCCTGTAATCCCAGCACTTTGGGAGGCCGAGGTGGGCGGATCACGAGGTCAGGAGATTGAGACCATCCTGGCTAACGTGGTGAAACCCTGTATCTACTAAAAATACAAAAAATTAGCCAGGCAGGCTAAGGTAGTGGTGGGTGCCTGTAGTCCCAGCTACTCAGGAGGCTGAGGCAGGAGAATGGCGTGAACCCAGGAGGTGGAGCTTGCAGTGAGCCGAGATCACACCACTGCACTCCAGCCTGGGCGACAGAGCGAGGCTCCGTCTCATAAAAAAATAAATAAATAAATAAAAAAGAACTATGGAGGGTCCAGCTAGTTAAACTGAATCTGCCCTTAGACTTCAGAGTCAAGGTGAAGCAGAGATGAAGCCAAGTAAACGAAAGAGACTAAGATAAGACAGGACAGGAGGGTAGGAGGAGCAAGGTGGGAATTCAAGAGGGTCCAAGATTTTTGCATATGCCAGAGCTGGGCTCCAGGACTCCCACTTAGCCCCACTGGTGGCCTCCTGCTTGGCTAAGAGGGCCTCACTGAAAGATGTAGGGTCAACACAGATCCCATGCCATACCCCGGCCCCAGCTCCTGTGACCTCTCTCCTATATGTAGATGTCAAACCCTTCTCCCTAGTCACTCTCCTCTGCTTTATGTATTTTAACGCTCTAAATCTGTGTTCAAAGTACGGTGTTGTTATATCCTTGCTATTGGTTGTATCTTTTATTAGTATTAAATGTCCCTGTTTACCCTGTTAATTTTTTTCTTTAAAGAATTTTCTGATATGTCTGGAGTTTCTATTGCCACTCCTGCTTTCTTTTTGTTTACTTTTCCTAATGTATCTTTGCCTGTTCTTTGTATTCTGGGAAATAGACATCTTTTCTTTTTTTTTTTTTTTTTTTTTTTTTTTTGCTCTGGCTCTGCCTCCCGGGTTTACGCCATTCTCCTGCCTCAGCCTCCCGAGTAGCTGGGACCACAGGCGCCCACCACTTCGCCCGGCTAGTTTTTTGTATTTTTTAGTAGAGATGGGGTTTCACCGTGTTAGCCAGGATGGTCTCGATCTCCTGACCTCGTGATCCGCCCGTCTCGGCCTCCCAAAGTGCTGGGATTACAGGCTTGAGCCACCGCGCCCGGCCGACATCTTTTCTTAATGTTTCTGATGGTTGCAATGATGTTTCAACAAATAGTAAGCCAATATTTATCTAATTATCATAGCACAAAGCCTAGAGATAACTTGGATTATCTCTAGACTTGGATAACTTGGATTATCTCTAGGCTCTGTGCTACAATAACTAGATAAATATTGGTATTCAACTGCTTACTTAACATCTGCACTTGAGGGTCTAACATTTGAGGCATCCTCCAACTAAATATATCCCAAGCCAAAACCTGGATGGTACACACCAAACATGTCCCTTCACCGGGCTGTGTT